CAACGCATTGTTGCTGTCATAACAGTCACTGAAGTGGACTTTTTGAGGAAGAAATGAAGTGTTTGTGTCCCCATAAAATGGAAATTTGGGGGGTTTATTTGAACTTGTTACTCAGTTCGATCTATTTTTAGCGGGTCACATGTAAAAATATGGTAACACAGGAAAGGGCAACCCATCATATCTATCTAAAACAATGTGAAGAACAAACTTAATAAATGATAACTTTCATTCACCTATTTTCAGTGAAGTAAGTATAGCTCAGTATCTCAGTTTGTAGATTCCATTCTTGATCTTTGTCATACTTACATCGGCTAAGTATTGTTTTAAGATATGTATCTCCAACAGATGCACAACCTGTCGAGTGATTTATCATATTTACTAGCTCAAAAAAGTCATACCTGTGATGAAATTGTAAATCAAGTACTTCACTGTTTATGTGAAGTTTGCAAAGTTGATTTTTCTAAGTGGAGAGGCCAGTCTTATGACGATGCTGCCAGTACATCAGGACATTATAAAGGCATGCAACAGAAGATTTTAGAATGTAATGAATATGTCACGTTCATACCATATGCTGCACGTTCACTTAATCTTGTAGGACATAGCACAGTAGATTGTTGTCCGGAAGCAGTTCTACTATTCAGTTACTCTACACATTTTTTGCCTCCTCTACTCACTGATGGGCAGTTCTTAAAACATATTTAGGCAATTGATAAGAGTATTAAAAATGTCTTTCTAGTACACGTTGGGAAGTGCATGATGTAGCAACGATTTCAATCCTGGAATCATACACTCAGATTCAACATGCTTTAGAAAACATTGCTGAAGACCAGACGCAAAAAGAATACCAAAAGAGAAGCTGAAAACATCATCAACAAATTGCAAACACTGAAGTATGTATTTATGTTGGTTATGTGGAGTAATATATTGTAGGATTTTCATAAGACGAGTCAGGTTCTCCAAGATTCAGAAGTAAATTTAAAGACATGCACAGATCTCTACCAGTCATTAACAGGGCGTTACCATAATTT